CACGTTTTAACAGCCTCAGAGCTGTTGGCCATGCGCTGACAGGTTTGGTTCATTGCCCAAACCCGGGATACGACTCTAGCCCAGAAAGGACTTGCGGATTTCTCAGGCCCCAGACAATTCCTCTCAATGAGACCAGGAGACGAGTTAAAAGTGTCCCCTACCCAAACAGTGACAGAGGAAAGAAGAGTCTAATTGCTAAAAATCACAGGCCAAGACACTAAATGTACAGGAAAAACTGTGAAGTTCTTCTTTCATCTTTAAAGATCTTACCAAGGAAAACTCAAAATTACAAATAACATCTCAAGAATTCCCTAAACGCATTATTTTGGAAACCAAATCATTAAAAAAAAAAAAAAGAAAAACAATAAAAATTTCCCCTAGGAGCTACCTCTGACTCCTGATCACATTTAAGTTTACTAAATTTGACTTGGAAATACCGGTGATGGAAGTCAAGGAAGACTTGGAAAATTAGAAGACATGGAAGAAGAAAAAAGTGATTGTCACAAGGGAGCCTTGACGCTGTTTTAAGTAAGTCTCTTTGCTTTCTGAGGATTTGATTATTCTGAGGAATTTCAGTGCCAGGGAGATGTAGGAGTCGGGAGTTGAATACAGGTGGCTGGTCTTTACAGAGAACAGACAACTGTCCTCCGAGAAGGCATTTCACCCCATACAGGCTGACTGCCCGCCCCCATACCAGCCCCACACATGTGCTGAGAAATGTAATCCTCCAAAGGTCAACCAGTGCGAAAACCCATTTAGGGGGGTTCCTCACTCAGCTGGAGAAACGGTCCCCAGTTAAAACACAAGCACATGAGCAGGCGTAAAACGCTGGCAATTACTGATACCTCCATGTGCAAGAGTTTGTCCCATCTTTTCCCAGAGGCGCCTGAGGGAGGGTGTTTCACAGGGAAAACAAGGGAGAGGAACGATTTCAAGGACATGATGAAAAGAGAACGGGATGGTACCCGGAGGAGCAAGGCGGGTGCCGGGAAAAGGGAGAAGGGCATCAAAGAACGCCTGGGCTCCACCACAGTTCTGAAGGGACGAGCCCTGGAGGGGCTCATTCAGGGGTCCGGCTCTTGGGATCCCTGAGTTAGAAAAGGCAAATTCTGTCGCCCAAGAACAGTTCTGTCTCTATGGGAAAGTGCCACCCAACAAGTCCAGAGTATAATCAATAAGGAATTCAAGATCTTAGACTAAGATACAAACAAATGTGTGCGGCTGGTGATGGTAGTGCATCCAAATTTAGAACCCACTTAACGCTAGGTCTGCATCGGTTTCTCATCTGCCTGGCTGTCCAGGCAGAGTTATTGCTGCCAGGTGAATTTTCCTAATATATAAGAATACAACATTAAGGAAAAAATCTCTTTCTAATGAGATTTTTCTTATAGTTCATGCTTGCTTGACTTAAGTCCCCATTCACTGTTCCCCTAACATGCTTTGGAAAGGTTTATGGGTAATAAATAGGAGATCACTTCTCAAATTAAATCCACCCTTCTCTTTACTGGAAAATAATGCCTACTTCTGTTCCTTCCACAGACACACAAAATTACAGACAATTCTCCATCTGCTGTGCTAACAGATCAATGAAAAAAACAAAACAAAACACTCTTGAAGAGATTCAACTTCCTCTCTCAGAACAAACAACATATTGAAATGGGGCAGTTAACAATTAGTAAAAGAAGGATTCACCTTTCACTACCCTTTTGAGCCTAAAGAGAGTACTAGGAAAAATAAAAATAAAAATTAAGTCCCCTGGCAGCTGAATGGGGGTTGAGTCAAAGAAACCTGAGTTCTAGATAAACGCTGGGGTCACGGAGCCATCTGAAGTGTGATGGATGTTATGCATTCCAAACACACATAACTTTTTGCATAAAATGTCAAGAGGTTCATAAACCCATGCATGGACTCCAGAGGTACAGAACTCCTGGCCTAATTTCTAGAATTTACTCCACAATAGAATAGCCCATAGAGATGTCTGGGTAAAAATGCTCTCTGCCGCATTCTTCATGAGAGCAAAAGGTTGTAAACAACCTAACAGACCATCAAGAGGGGACTAATTAGGTAAGATCACGGCCAAGAATAAGAATGGGATGAATCGATGAGTGTCCCAGGAAACAAAGACCAATCTGTGTTATTAAGCGAAAGACACAAGGTACGGAACAACGGCCAAGTCTGAGTCTATAAACGGAATATGTCTGGAAGGAAACCCGAGAAACTAGAAACAGTGTTTGTGTCTGAGATGCAGGGACCATCAGGGATCTGAAGGTGGAAGAAAAATTATTTTCACTTGTAATCCATGTTATTACTTTTTTTAAATTAAAAGAAAACTAGTTGGAGATAGAGAAATAGTTGAGGGTGATGGGGATTAAGAGAGAGAAAGAGAAAGACTATTTTAAAAGAACTGATCTAGCTAAGTCCCAAAATATCCCGGCCATGAAAGCAGTTGATGTTGTAAAACATTTGGCACCAAGACATAAATAGGAAAGCTCTCATAAATGCATAAATGCTTTTTCCGGCTTGAGCTGCAGCCGACGCTCAGCACAGCAGAACTTTCTCTCCCCAAGTGTGGCGTTTCTGGCTTTTCCTCTTGTTGAACCAATTATGGGACATTATAACAGCAGCACCAGTGTTATTTTTTACAGGCTGTTGTTATTCGCTAAACACCCGTTAAACACGCCTCTGTGCTCCACGTACAGCGAGCTGAAGGGCAACTCCAGATGGTACAAATAATATATTCAGACTCGATGTGCGCGAGGCCAGTCATCAAATAGCCATTATCAAGTTTTAGAGCCTTCAGCTGCCTGACACCCACAGGTGCGTCCAGGCGAGAAGACTAGCAACCTTTCTGGAGATGGCTGGGCTCTCTCAGCCTCGGCAAACCATCACTGCGCTCCCCGAAGGGCTGCATTTGCCTCTGTATCTGAACAGTTAGCAACAGCGACCAAGGGTTGCTTGGTAACCTGGTAACAGGCTGTGCCTAGGTGTTCCCGAGCAGAGGACCAGATTACATCACCCTCCCACACAGCCCCTGCTCACCGCTTCACCCTGGCTTGGCCAAGAAGATCCAGAAACCCTGAGAGACTCTCCGGCAGAGTCACCTCCCGGTGGCCCTATATTCCCGTGGCCCCACTGGAAAAGGTTCATCTCAGAGGGATCACCACTTGTTACCTTTTTTGATTGACAGGCACTGAAACTTTCCCCTGTGACCTTGAAGATTTTTTTTAAATGGGACGGAATAAAATCTGGCCAACTTCGTCTTCAAGAAGGCTCAAAATTGGGATGGTAACATCTTCAGAGGGGACCCCAGGAGCTCCATGACAGTACAGCCAGGGGAACAGACAGAAAGCCTTCTGTCCCTGTGTTTCGAAGACTCGGCCTGAAAATGAGCTTTGCTGGAGGACAGTGGCCCATCCTAGTCACCAGACAGTACTTGACTCTCCAGTAAGAGAACAGCAGACAGTACCTGAGTGGTTCTGATTTGAGTATGAATGACATGGGCGATCAGAGGCAGGGGGTAGATTTTTCATGCTAACCCTCTATTACTGGACCTCTTGCTAGATGAATTTTTATTTCCTGATTATATCCCACAAAGGAAGAGGTGGGAGGCAGCGAGCATCAGTCCGAGTGGAGAAGGTGTTCGCCTTCTCCATGAATAATTCATGCAGGATATCATCTGAACACAGATAATTGAGAATTGGCTGGGGCACCGTTGTTAACTTTGGTACATTTACTCTCTCGGGGTCTAGAGATCGCCTCAGCCTCCACAGGGTGAGAATATCAAATTAAAATGCCAGCCCGGAAACGTGAAAGGGCTTTCTTCCTTCAGTCACTAATGTGAAGACAGTGACTCGTGCCCAATCTGTTTCTCCCGGATTAACTTGAGAGAGAACTCCACGCAAGGGAGGAGGCAGCCGTTCTCAACATCCTTCCCCTGGTTTTAGTTCTTAAGTCTGAGGTCTACAGGAGAAGTGAGGAGGGGGGAGAGACAAAGGTTTCACGATGCCTGGAGCTTGCCAGTTAAGCACGGGACTTAAATAAAAGCAAAGGAAAAGAAAGGCAGCCACTTCTCCTGGTGCAAACTGGCCCTTAAATTAGCCAACTGCCCAGGGTGAACTATGACTGAGCAAGGAGGGTGGAGCCTTACACCGAGAATGGAAACCAGCGTAACCCTCCCAATGTATCTCCCTCTCGGAGGGGGCATCCGCCCAGTCTGCCCCTCCCCCTTCCCCAGGAGATCCAGGAATTGCTCCCCTATTCCTCTCAAGGGACACACTCCCTCTAACTTAAGAGGGAAGGCATGACTTTGCCGTCAGTGTTTTTAGGTTTTCTGGCTCCAAACTGCACCAGTGAGAGCAACACCCACAGTTCCCCAGGTGGCCCAAAAAGCTGAAAGTCACATAAACAGAAAGGAACATCCAGGGTCGTCAGAGACAGGGAGACAGAGGGACTGGTGCCCGCACTCCAACCCAAGCCAGCCCAGCCCCATCAGAGGGGCCCCTGTCCACCTGAACCAGTGGAAAAACAATCAAAAGGCGACGTTACATAGAAAACAAACTTACGGTTACCAAAGGGAAAAGGGGGTGGGGATTGGGATTTGCAGATACAAACTGTTGTACACAAAACAGATAAAGAACAAGGTCCTACTGTACAGCACAGGGAACTGTATTCAATAGCTTGTAATAACCTAAAATGGAAAAGGCTATGAGAAAGAATATATGTATGTATAACTGAATCGCGATGCTGTACAACAGAAATTGACACCTCCTTGTCAATCAACTCTACTTCAATAAAATAAACCAATAAATAAAAGGCACTGTTACCTCCTGTGCACCGAGCAGGTGGTTTAGAGAACACACGAGGAGGGAAAGCAGGGGGCCGGAACCAGCTCAGCCCTGCGCAGTGATGAGGGGGGCTTGGGAAGGACAGGACACCCTCCCACCACCAGGCCCAAGCCTGTCCTGTCTAACTCAGCCCAGGGTCTGCAGCAGGGAGCTTGCCTGAAAGAAGCCCAGCTCTACCTATCCGGATGGAAAGTTCACTCTCGGGGAAGAGCGGCCTGGGACCCTCGGCATCAGATTTCTTCTTCATCAACGCAGGGTCGAAGTTCAGTGCCAGGGCCGTCTGGGGGTCCTCGGCTGCACCCTGAAACGAGAAGCAGGGGCATCACTGTAACGCCTCTTCTGCCTTCCTTCCCCAGGCCCCTCCGGCTCCGAGCTGCCCAGGCAGCTGGCCAAGCTCTACCAAGAGCACCAGGGCTGGGCCAGTCCCCCAAGCCAGACCCATTCGGCGGGCTGGGCTGAGTCCTGAGGAGGACGACAAGTCTTCTGGCCGCGGAACTTTTGAGGGTGACAAAAACAGGATCTGGGGTGTCAGTGCTGATCCTGGACATGGGGGCAAAAAACACGTACAGGAAAAGAGTGGCTCGAACATCAAAACCCCACTCCATGATCCAACACCGCCCGGCAAACGGCAGGACAGACTCGGTACCCAAACTGTCAAAAGAAGTTTAACGAGCAGGCCCGCTCAACGGCAGCCTCAGTACAGGGGCCAAGGTCGGCATTTTTAGGAATTCACCATCTTCACGACTCTCATGAGATCCAAAGGGGAGGAGAACCCAACAAAAGCAGCTCCAAGGAAGGCAAACGGGAGTCATGGAGGACACTGCGTATTTGGAATTAAGCCCAGATGGCCTTACACCAACCATGTCACCCTTCTGCTTGGTCTGGAACCAGTTGTTCTGACTGTTTTTGCATTAACTACGCCGAGTCTTGATTTTGATGCCCACGTTCGTTTAACAAGTATTTTGCTGATCGCCAACTTTGTGGATACTTGTCGAACTAACAAAATTCTAGTTCTTACGCAGCCTACGTTCTAGCCAGAAGCAAACCAGCATGTCTGCCACGGGGCTGTGAGCTCCTCTTCCAGGGGCATCGCCAGGACCCCTCTGTCCCTAAGGGAAGGCGAGCAGAATCATCTCAAAGGGCAAATAAACAGCAGAGCTTTTTTTTTTTGAGAACCAGGCAAAAATAGTTCCGAACAAACAAGTTTCCATCTAACACGTGTGTCCCTCCTAGGGGAGAGGAGAAACCGTATTAATCCAATCACAGAAATGCATCCATGTCTAAGCAGATCCTGAAACTTGGGTCAGTTCCTTTCCTGAAGGAATCTCACAAAAGTTATGCCGGCCTGTGTCTTCACACACACACACACACACACACACACCCCCTCTTGTTTTCTCATCCTCATGTTGATCAGGAATCCGAAAGAAAACCTAATGATTCTGATACTTTATTTCATTATTTTTCTCCAACTAAATGTGAAAAATGATAACATTAACCCTTCCTCTCCTGTCTTCTCATTGGTCCCATATATCGATATTGTCCTAATAATTTATTTACAGTGTCCTCTATGATGCACTTAAAGAAGGGTCCCAACACCTCCTTTAACCCTGTTTTAAAAGGGGAAGCGGGCAGGGTAGAGCTCAGTGGTAGAGTGAATGCCTAGCATGCATGAGGTCCTGGGTTAAATTCCCAGTACTTCCATTAAACAAATAAGTAAACCCAAGTACACCCCCCTTAAAAAATTTTTTTCATGTTAAAAAAATTAAAACAAAATAAAAATAATTTAAAAAATAATAAAAGGGGTAACAAGCCTCGGGGCTCTGTTGGAGCCACCCTCGTGAAAGTTCTTAGGTCCCTCTGTAGAACCCGAGGGGCAGCAGTGTCTCACCTGCTCCGTCACTGGGAGAGGCACAAAGGGAGGCAGGCTGTCACACTGTGTCAGTCAAGGTTGACACTACAGATGGACGGATGCTGGGGACAGAAGGGACTTTGAGAAGGCCAGCCTCCCCCTCCCCCCGCCAAAATCCCCTCTAACCACCCCCAAGTGACAGCTGGTGTCTGGGCCGTGTGCTGTGGGCCACGGACCCACAGCTCTCTGTTTGTTTATAAGCTTTAATTATTTCTAATCCTACATCTCACGCTGACATCTGAGGAATCACTGCGGCAATAAAAGTCGTGTTTCACTAGAGAGGGCAATGCAGTCTGATGTTTCTTCCTTTGTCTTGCTCCCTTTTAGAATGTGATTGATGCATAACTGGCGGGTGGGGGAGAAGGATTGGGAAGGAAAACCACTTCATTACAACAAGGATGGGGTAGCATTAATAAGCTCCAAGCTGCGTCTTTGACTGGAGCCCATTCAGTCAGGTGCAGCCTGGAGAGACCCCAATTTTCATTGAGAATGGTGGTTTTCAGTTGGGGTGATTTTGCCCCCAAGGGGACATTTGGCCATGGGCATTTTTGTTTGTGGCGGTGGGGGAGAGGGGAGGGGCAGGAACCCCGTGGGTAGAGGCCAAGGATGCCACTGAACATCCCACAACGTGCAGGACAACCCACACCACAGAGAAGGACCCAGCCAAATGTCCACAGTGTTGAAGGTGAGAAACCCTGCTTTACAAAAATTCAGGATGATCACAGCCCCAGAGCTCCTCATCTTATTGGACCTGCTGGGAACACACAAGACCCTCTTCTTACTGTAAAGATAAGAATTTGGCTACTTTCTCCAGGAAGCCTTCCTGCCTTCGTGTATTTGGCAAATTTTTATTAACCATCAACTGTGTAGCAGAACCATTCTAGGTCCTGACAGTACAAAACAGCCAAGTCCCCTGTCCTCCTGGATCTTCCAGAGATGGACCATAAACTAACAATATATAATGAAATAAAGTGCCAGGTCCAGAGAACACTGAGAAGAAAAAAAAAAATCACAGCCATAGTTAATGTACTAGAATTGTTAAGTGTACTGGCTTCGAGCACTGTGCCAGGCACTTTCCTGACATCTCAGGTGTCCTCATATGCTCCAAAGCTGGAGCCCTCCTCCACACAGCACGCAGAGGGAGGGCGCTCAGAGAAGGTGGCATTTGAGCAAAGACCTGAAAGGCAGGGGAAGGAGCCACGCTGATTTCTGAAAATGGTGTTTCGTGCAACAAACTGGAAGGCAAACACACGCCACCCCTCCACCCCCACCATAGCCTTTGACCATTTTATCAATCTGTATTTTGCTGCTTGAATTGCTTTATTTCAGTGCTAGGGGTGGGGGTGTGCTAAGAAAATACTACCCCAGCTTCACATAGAAGCTGCCTTTTTTTTAATTAAAGTATAATTGATTTACAATGCTGTGTTAGTTTCTGGTGCACAGCATAGTGATTCAGTTAAATATATATATATATTCTTTTTCAGATTCTTTTTCATTATAGGTCATTACAAGATCTTGAATATAGTTCCCTATGCTGTACAGTAGGATCCTGTTGTTTATTTTATATATAGTAGTTTGTATCTGCTAATCCCAAATTCCTAATTTATCCCCCCGCCTTTCCCCTTTGGTAACCATAGGTTTGTTTTCTGTCCGTGAATCTGCTTCTGTTTTGTAAATAAGTTCACTTGTTCTCATTCTTTCAGATTCCACATACAAGTGATATCATATGATATTTGTCTTTCTCTGACTTCACTCAGTATGATTATCTCTAGGTCCATCCATGTTAACGCAAATGGCATTAAGAAACTGCCTTTTTAAAAACAGGACAAAACCCCAGCAGATCCCACTGGTAGCCACCCCGTAACTAGGCACTCGGTCTCACATTTAGGGTGAGGGCGGAGGCCAGCCGTGCAGAGTGGGAACTGGAGGGAGCACCCGCAGGGTGATGCCAGGGGCAGCTGCTATGCCCCATGCCGGGCAGTGCTCTCTCTCCGTGTGTCCCTGAGCCCAGGCACCAGCTGGCCTCCCGGGGGCTCCTTTAAGACGCCCTTCTGGCTTCCCAACATCCCCCACCCTCCACCCTCAACCAGTGATGAGGAAAACAGAGAAACATATTCCTCTAAATTTCAGGGAACAGCCTGGCAGGAGAGGCCAGCCCTGCCTTGATGGCTTTATCATAATGTCTGTGACATCGGGGTTGGGAGTTTGCGGGGCCAAGGTGGCTCCCATCCTGCAGGACTGACGCCACCCCTCGCTCTCTGGAGCCCCATCTGCTCACGGAGAAGTGAGACAGCAGGTGGAGGGCGCTCTGCATTGTTTTCTTAACCAGAGCCTTAAATAAACACAGCCTTGGCCTCTGCAGGAGCGCCCAAGACCTGCGGGGTAGGGGGTAAATTCCTTCTCGACATCCTCCCCTTTCTTTCACTTCTAAGGCTTTTTTCTTTTTCATCTCTGCAAAGCTTTTCCATCCACACCGCCTCACTCAATCTTTGCAGCCTCGCGAGGACGGCGAGGTGAGAGTGCCCGTCCAGGGCAAACATCGGACTGCTGCGAGCTGCGCCTGCCCTCCACCGCGGCCCTGGGAGCGGGCTCGGCGGCCCGTCAGCCGGCGAGTGAGTCGCTCATCCCCTGGTAGTTTCCACTGGGCTCTTGGGACTTTGGACAGTCCAGGCTTGCTGGGTCACCTTCCTGCTCTCAAATGTCAAGGTCCCCAAACGCAGGCTCCTTCCCAAGCCCCAAGTCCCCCTTTCCTTCTGTACCTCCCCTTCCTCCAGGGCTTCCTCTGCCCTCCTCCCTGCTCCCTGCCCGACCCTCCAAGTCCAGCTCGGTGCAGAGAACAGGGAGGGGGGCCGCTGGGAGGCTCCAGGTGACACCCATGCAGGACCATGGTACTTGAGATCACAGTCCGCTCGAGACTATTATTGTTGCTGTTGTTACTGTTATTAATGGTTGGGGCAAATCCCTGGTTCAGAACAAACAGAGCAACTTCCACCCACTCTGGAAAGGCTATGCCAAGAGGCAGGAGCTGGAGGAGACCCACACTTTCCAGAAGAAAAAGACAGTGAGTGGAGAGATGCGGAAAGGGGGAGGGAATAAAATGAGGGGGGAAAGAGGGGGAGGAAGAGAGAAACGCAGCCCCCCAATATGCTTTACATGGAAACAACAACAAAAAAGCTTCAAAAAATAACATGTATCTCTCCCTCCAGAAATGGAATCCAGGTGCCGTTCGTCACAGTCGGCTGTCCCCGGCACCAGGGAGACAGCCGCTGGTTGCTGAGGCTTCTCGAACCCCAAAGCAATGAGTCACAAAAGGACTCACAGCGTGGAGCGTAGCTGGCAGGACGCAGGCGTCTCTAGATGAAGTCCGCGATGACAACGAAAGCCCCCTACGC